TCCTCCTCCTCCTCCTCCATCTCCTCCTCCTCCTCCTCCTCGTCCTCCTCTCTCCCTGCTCAACTTCCCTGTCCCCTTCCCGATCCCCCTCCCCGTCCTTCCAGCCGCAAGCCGCTTCTAGATGATGATCGAGTTCGAGCTGTGCTGGACACGTTTCAGAGTAGGTTTGCGTTGGGATGGGATATTGCTTCCGCCCGCGGTGGGCCAGATATCTGCCGAACTCGATGATCTCATCGCTCACGCTGGTTCTACACAGGTGGGAGGACAACCCGTAACCTTCGGACGTCGGGATATCGCTTATAATGTTTTTTCGTCGAAGCCTCAAGGCGGTGTCTGCCTGATTGGCTTGCTTCCAATGTTTGCGCGGATATGGTCAAGGCCGAGGCATAAGGAGATGGGGCGTTAGGGAGCCATTCAGAAGTCTCATGCGACACATCGGAGAGGATCCAAATTGTGTTCTGCAGTGTGGCCCAAACATAGAACTTCGTCAGTACAAGCGCCTTCATCGACCTCTGCACATTCAATGACATAAAAAAAACAGACAGAGCCCATGTGTGCTGCCAGGGGCACCAAGTTCCCAACTCCACTGCGAAGGGGTTGGCGCTGCATGTGCAGGCCCTCGCAGGCCCCTCTACCAGCGCTCGACCTCGGGACAGAAGTTTCCCAACAGGACCGTGTTGGTTTGGCCGCGCTCATGGCCCTCACAACCCCCAGTCTGGGAATTATGAGACTCGGGTGCCCCGGAACTCGGGTTTGCCAACGCTCTTTGACGAGCGCGTCCTGGATTTTGACGGTCAAGTTTTCGTGGGATGTTTGCAGTGGGAACCCGCGTCAAATTTCAGACTGGGTCTTGTCGTTTTCACGATGGCCCCGTCGGGCCAACCCGAGTCTCCCCAGCCTGAGTCTTACGCAGGCACATTGGTTGCGGTTGCAGCCGCCTTCGAGTCAATCATCTCGCGACGTGTCTCCACGGCGCCGGGGGGGGCCCAGGTCGTGACTCGAGGATGGAAGCTTTTTTTTGTGAACTGATCGACAATTGCGCAAATTGCGTGAGCCACGTCACCTCCGCACCCCTGCAACGTTGCGCTTGCCGTCGAGAACGCGAAGGCAGAGGGGCAGTCGCGAAGGTCCGAAGTATTCGACTGCCACTCGACATTGTGCACATGCCGCCAGAGGCACCACTGCGTCTCGGTGGTCGCCCTCTCCCAGCAGGCATCCGACAGCAAACCCAGCCCACTCCAGAAAGGTCTCCGTTCGAACGGTTTGCCATTTTCCTGGGACCAAATGTTAGCGTTGTGCGCGAACAGGGCAGTGCTCGAGGACATCGCGGCGGGTGTCCGAGAACTCTGGACCAGGCCCGACAGTTCTCCTGGACGCGATGCGCACCGCGTGGACCTAGGCGGCGATGCCGTGGACGCGGGGTTCAGAAAAGGTATATGCACAACTCCTGAGGACCAAGGAGGCTATTAGGAAAGGAAATCGCATCGCCGTTCCTCGAGGTCTAGGACTTCGAAGATCAGCGGTCCACAGAGCTGGGTCAGTGTCTGAAAGCTTGTGGGGTCGCAGTATTGCCGGTCTGCCGAACTGTCGTACGCAGCAGCTGCGTACTTGTTTCCAATCGCAGGTTGTAGATGCAAGTCTGGGGCGAGTGTGGCTTGGTCGTTGATGCGCGCGGAGAGTTGCTGGACATCCGAACCGCTAGTGATTGCGACGGCAGACGCCATGAGCACGTGCGTGACGGCGATGAGCACAGGCACGATCTCTCAGAAGATCGTGAACGACCTGATTGCTGAAGCGAGGCCTCTCGCTAATGATGGACGCGCATGAGGTGGAGTTCGAAACCCCATCGCGGCCCCTGTCGTCACGCTTCACAGAATAAGATGGGTTTTCGAGGGCGCGACCTGGATTCAGGAAGACGAGAGGAGATCTTTGGACTTGAAGGCCTTCTCGGCGAATTGCTCTTCTGTGGCCAGCAAGATGAGAGTCGAGCGTCATATCGACAGAGGGCCCCGCAAAGGCTTGCAAGACCCAGGAGTGCCAGCTCGAGTGAGGCCCCTGTACTCGGGCGCCAAAACACGCATGTATGAAACGGGGGAATCTGCCACTTCACCAGAAGTGGACCCTCAGAGGAACCACTACTGGCGGCCCTTGGTGCTAAGTGGGAGTTGCCGGCGTTCCCTGGCCAGAGCCATCTCTGTGCTCGATGCGGCGTTGCTCTAGGCACGCTTTTCCACCAGTTCTTCTGTTGCGATGCCCATGCGATGCGGGCCATCGGCGGGCTCTCATGCCACCCGAGCTCAGGCAGACGACGGAGAGAGCCAGCTCGCCAGCGCAGCAGGAAGGGTTCGCCAGAGGGCGAGTGCCTCTCCAGGCCAGGCCATTTTGAATGCGCCGAGGAGTGATGCTCGCGACATCGGTGATGTCGACGGCGCGGGGGGTTGTTCGCGTGGATGGGGGCTCGTGCCTGCTGAGGGCGGCTGGGGCCTACCTCCAGATCTTGAGCTGCGCGTGGCTGGGTGGGCAGTCAAAGTGCACGGCGCAGACCGTGTCAGGATTGCGTCAGAGGTTCCGCGCCCAAGCAGGCTAGGCTCCAGCGGATGGCCAAGGGCGGAGAGGATGTCGCAGGCTACCAACGATCCATGTTTGCGCGCGGGGCGCGGGCCCTTTTCTCAGGTTGTAAGAGTAAGGTCAATTGCTGCAGACGTTTGAACTGGGCGAGGGGCTCTCAGTGCCAGCGGGTTCACATCTAGAGGAAGGTCGGGCTGGTAGAGGATTTCAGAGATCAGCGTTTCCGACATGTCAAGGCACACGCCTCGGTGAATGACGTGAAAGAAGGAAAATCGAGCAATTTCGACCAGGAGGGCATTGAACAGGCGGACGAGCAAGCCAAGGAAGGGGCCAGACTCATCTCTCTATCCGGAGCTCCAGTCGGTGAATGTGGAAACTCTGCGCCAGGCTGCGCAAGTTGCTGCTGGAGTACACTGCCAACTTCGAGGCGTGGTTCCACGGGCAGAAAGATGGTTGCCAGGATTCCACATTCCCAGACGTTGGCGATGATGCTGAGGCGTCAGAAGAGGCGCCGGCCCAAGCGGAAGTGGGATCTGATCTTTGGCTTGTGGGCAGACGCGCCCTGCTCGCGTATATGATCGAGGGTAGCGGCTATTCTGTGCGGTTCTGCACATGTTGCACATCTTGTAGTAATTCTCCCAATGCTTTGTCGAAGGCGTGCGAGGCAAGGGTCTGGCTCAGGCGCGCCCTGGGCGAACGATGTCGCGTGATAGGGCTGTGCAGAACACCGCGCGTTTGTGCAACCTCTGGCGCCCGCAAAGCGCCGAGCAGGGAGCAAAGCTGCAGCCACCCCGATGTCCGTCGATTGTCACGAGAAGGAAGACGTGTCAAATCAAGGAAAGGGGAGCTCGTTGGTGGGTTATGAGGTTGTTGCTCCTGATGGCGAGCAGCAACAGGTAATGCCGTTGATACGTCGAACATTCCGAAATACTATGGGGTTGCCATGGACAAGGCTACCTTCCTGGGTCGTGCCCACGTGGAAGTGGCAGTCAATTGCGAAGATGATGATGAACATTTGCGGTGAGCACGCCCTTGCGGCGACGGCCTGAACACTCTTTTGCCCCAGGCCACTTCCACATGCGCGACAGGTAGTCCTTAGCACGTATGGGAAAAAGGCTTGCTGTCGGACTGGTGTGGTGTTCGATCCTTGGTCACATCCATATTCAAATCCTCGCTTCGCGCAAGGTTCGTATCGCGGCAGGTGTGTCCCTTCCTGGGCCCTGGTGTAGCTTGGCTCTCGCCCTGGGATTCCTGTGTGTTGGAGCCACCCAGCTTTGTTTTGCTTGATTGCAGCTCGGTGTTGAGCTGCTGGACATCAGGGGCGCTGCGTGCTGCCATGTTGCCGTGGCCCTCACCGACGTGATGGAGATCAGGGGAGCGTTGTTCGTCGGTGGCGGCGTCTGCGCCATCGGATCCCTCTCCTCCGAGTGCGCCAGACGCGAGGGTTTCATAGGGGGCGAGCACGGTCCTGGCGCAGGCTCCGTACTCTCTGAGCTCCCCGCGACACGGCGCTCACAAACACCACGCCCGGAGAACGGATTCCGGCAATGCGGTCGGCTTCGGGCCCCATCTTTCTGGACTTGGCACTCCAGGTTTGGGGGTTTATGAGTCCGTCTGTCTCCCAGCCGCCTCTCGTCTGTTCGCTCGTTCGCTCGTCTTCCTGCTGCAAACCATCTCGGGCGCCTCCCCCCCTCAGCCGGGCCCCCTCACGCCCTCTGCCTTTCCCCTCCCCCCAGCCTTCTCTTTCCCTTCCCTCCCCCCCCCCTCCCTTCCCCCCCCTTCCCCTCCACCGCTCCTCCACCACCTGCTCACCTTGAGATCCGACGTTGCCCCCAAAGACGGGCATCCCGAAAAGTCATGACTGGACCCTTAGACCCCATCCTGTGGGGTCTAAGGGTCGATCTTTCCAGCTCGCTGCCTTAGACCCCATCCTGTGGGGTCTAAGGCAGCGAGCGCTGCAGTAAAGGGGCCCTTCAAAGCCCCTACAGGGGCCGTTTGGGGCACTTTAGGGCCCAAGAGGACGCATTCAGGGCCCGAGAAGTGCACCTTTCTCCCCCCCCACTTCTACATGTATTGGCCCCCTGGAGGAGGAGGAGGAGGAGGAGGGAGGGAGGAGGAGGAGGAGGAGAGGAGGAGGAGGGAGGGTGGGTCGATCTGTGAGGGCCCGGGCGCCCGAGACGCGGCAGCCTCGGCCCGCGGGCAGAGCTGCAGCGCCCCGATCCCAGGGCCCTGCCCTTGCCCGCTCCTCTGCTCAGGCCCCCCCTCCCCCTCCCCCCACACGGCGCAGCCCCTCCTGCCCCCCTCCCCCCCCCCCCTCCCCCCCTCCTCCTCCCCTCCTCAGCCCCCCCTCCTGCCCTCCTCCTCCCCCCCTCCTCCCCTTGCCCGCTCCCCTGCTCAACCCCTCCCCTCCCCGCGTGCCCCTCCGCAGCGCAGCCGAGCCGTGCTCCTGGGCCGCGGCCCGCGGGCGCGAGCCGGCGCGCCGACTTCATGGGGCGCGGCGGGCGCGGCAAGGGCCGCGGCGGCTGCGGCAAGGGCCGCGGCGGCGGCGGCGGCTGCTGGCAGCCCCACGGCCGACGAATCAGCGAGCGAAGAACGGTATAAAATAAACTTTTTCGCCGTCGGGGACACCTGCCCCTGGGCGGCTGGAAAGTTTATACCCTGACGGAGGCACCGTAGGGGTAGAAACTTCCCAGCCGCCCAGGGGCAGGTGTCCCCGACGGCGAAAAAGTTTATTTTATACCGTTCTCCGCCCGTTCAACGAAGCGCGGCACGGGCTTGGCATCGCTCGGACGTGTGCGTTTTCCCTTCGGCGGGGACCATCGAGGAGCATCCTTGATCAGTTGGCGAAGAAGCCACGCGCGAAACCGATAAAAAACACACAGGGAATGGACGTCCGAGCGATGGCCAGTGGGGGATCGGGCGTTGCGCCTTTCGCCGGGCGACGGCGGCGGCCACTGGCAGCCCCACGGCCGACGAAGAGCGGCACGGGGGATCGTTATACCAGCCTCGAACGTATCCCTATCCCTAAGATTGGCACGCCCAAAGGCGATGACAATCTTAGGGATTCGCCCTCGAAAAATAAGGGAGTCCCTAAGATTGGCATCGTGATGAGGAGGTGCCCAGCATAGGGATAGGGATATGTTCCAGGCTGGTAAGATCGGGCGTTGCGCATTTCGCCGGGCGCGCTCGACCCCCCATCAAGCAACGCCCGAGAGGATGGCCCAGACTTCCGACGCATTGGGATCTTCCTACGCTCTTCCCATTTCCGCCCCCTGGGGGGGCCCTCGCAGGGCTTCGGGACCGTGCGCAGACGGCAGAGGATGCAAAGCTGGCCCTGGGGAAACTGCTGGGGGGACCCGGTGCGGCAAGCAGCGTCACATTGGATCTGTGGGGATCGCCCTCCGCCGCGGGGGGGGGGGGGGGGCGGGCGGGCGCCTGTCCCAGGGCGGCCGGGGCTCGGGGAGAGCGGCGCCCCCTGCCCGCACTGGTCCTGGTCCTGGCCACATAGCGCCCACCCCGGGCCCAGGACCGGCGCCACGCACACGCGTGCGATGCCAGCCAGGTCCGGGGGGGGCGTGCCTGCGCCGATCCTCGGCTAGCGTGGGCGCGGCCCGGAGGGGTGCCGCTGCTGTGCAGCAGAGGAGCGAGAGCCTGCCAGGGTCTCCAGGATCTCCGGGAGGGTTTCTGATGCTCCGCGCGGGCTTCGGGCACGAGGGTATAGCTGGATACTCCAGAGCTCCTGGAACGCATCCTGAGCCAGTCGCATGGTGACACTATCCTGAAGTCGGGCATGTCCCTCTACAGGAGGCACGTTCAAAAATGGCAAAAAAGTAGTAGGGGGACGATGTTTCTACTACTTTTGGCTATTTTTGAATCTTTGTTGAACATGCTTTGTTTGTCGTTCAAAACCCGCCTGTAGGAGGACATGCCCGACCTAACACTATCCCCGTCCAACATTCAGCCTGGCATCTTGCCGCGGGGTCCTTTGCTCCCTTCGGCAAGCGCGCGGACGAGCGAGGTGCCCGGCCCCGGCCTGGGACTGCCGTCGCATGCGCTTAGTAAGTAGGTCGGCCGTCCTCGTCAGCGGTGCCCTTGTGTCCAGCGCCTCGCGCCCCATGCCCTCTGCATTCTTGGGGCAAGGTGGCCCGCGGAAGGGTCTTGCGTCCTCTCGCGTGTCCTCTCCGATCGAACTCGACCGTGTGGCGCCCGCCCCCCCCCCCCCGCCCGCGGTGGAGAGCCATCGGCCTGTGCCGCGCACTCGTCCGCGGAGGCACGGCGGAGCCGCTTGGGGGCAGCAGGAGCCGCCGGCGAGGGCGCCCTCTCACTGCGCGGGCGCAGGTCGGAGGGCTCGGCGACCCTCGGAACGGGCGTCGAGGAAGGGCCAGGGCCTCCGAGGGGCCTGCGCGGGGGGGGGCCCAGGACGCCACCGGGCACGCCGCGGAGCCTCAGGCGGCCTCCGAGGGGCACGCGGGAGCCTCCCGGAGGGTCCGGGAGCCTCCGGAGACGCCCGGGACTCTGCGAGTGCCCCCCCGACTCCCTGCCCCTCCCGCGGCCTCTCTGTGCGCGCTGCGCCCCACGGAGCCGTCCCATACAAGGACGGAGTCTCGTCCGCGCCTTGCCCCGCCTCCCGGCTTCCTGGCCCGCAGCGGCCAAGGCTTCCGCAGCCGAGCGGCGGCGCAGGAACAGAGCATCGGGCCCGGGGCGCCCGCGGAGCGCGCGGGCAGGCCCGGGGGGCTATTGCAGCGCTGAAGGTTCTTCGTCTTCCCCGTCCCCCTTGTCGGCGGCGTCGTGGTCGTCTTCCTCCTGTCTGCTGGTCCCGCCTTCCTCCACGAGAGCTCCGGGGGAGAAGGAAGGAGAGGAGGAGTGAGCACGGCTGCGTGGTCTGAGGAGGTACCTGGAGGTTCTGGTGAGCCCTGGAGGATCATCCTGGCCCGCTTCCGCCTCGCCTCCTCGCTCAGCGTCCTCCCGTCACCCCGTGGCCATCCCCAAGATATCGTGCCGCAGATTTACCTGCAGACGCCACGAGGCCCTCAGGAGACTGTCGTGCGGTCAGTCTGTCGGTCTGCCTCCTCTTCCTGTCTCGCTCTCGCTCCGTCCCGAATTCGGCCACTCGGAGCTCCGCACCATGATCGCGGGGGGCTTGTAGTCAGCCCGGTGTGCGCAGGGATCTCGAGCAGGCTCGGCCGCAGTGGTGTTGGCCGGCGTGGTCCAGCTCTGCTTGTCGAGGCTTTTGAGGCCTTGTCCCTACTGCCATGGAGCGTTCTCGGGGTGCGTGCAGCCGTCCTCCTTCTCCTCGTCCTCCTCCTCGTCCTCCTTCTATTCCCTCTCCTCTCTCTCTCGTGTGTTTTGCTTGATGCGCTAACTCTTTATTGTGTGAAATATCCTCTACTTTTCGCAGTCGTCATTTTATGTTTACGTGTCGTTGCCGTTTGGCTTGGCATTGTGGTGAGGGCCAACTTGCAGGGTTCGACCTCTTGGGTCTGGGTCGGCGATGCTTCTATCAAGCCGGCGACAGAACTCAGTCCACGATGTCCTCGTGCCCCTCCCTTCTCCTCCCTCATGCTGCTGACCCTCCTTGCATGGGAACTGCTGTGGCGTATCACTGATGACACCAGTTGCCGCTTCATTATATAGTCTAATGCTGGGTGTAAGTGATGCGGCTGATAGTTCAATGCTGGGTGTAAGTGATGCGGTGATCACGGCTGGATGTCGTTTGCTGGGGGCGGACGCATTGCAGTATTGTTGGGCCTTCTTGCTCCCCTCTGCTCCCTCCTCCTCCTCCTCCTCCTCCTCCTCCTCCTCCTCCTCGTTCTTTCCGCAAGAAATCCGTGCCTTGTGCGTGTCACCCCTCCTCCTCCTCCTCCTCCTCCTCCTCCTCCTCCTCCTCCTTGTCCTCCTCCTCCTCCTCCTCCTCCTCCTCCTCCTCCTCCTCCTCCTCCTCGTTCTTTCCGCAAGAAATCCGTGCCTTGTGCGTGTCACCCCTGGCCGCTCGTGCCGTGACGTCACAATGCCTCACCGAGACCGCGTCTTGGAGGTTGCCCGTCGCGCGGGTCCGGGAAGACAGCCCTCTTGAGGGACAGCGGATCGGGCGCGCTTCGTTCGGACAAAAAACGCAGACGGACGCTCGGGCGGTGCCGAGGGGGGCCGCCACCAGTGGGGCCACCGGCTCCTCCCGAGCATCGAAGCTCCAGGCTCGAAGCTCGAGGAGGACTACGGGGGGCCCCGCTTCCTCGATGAGATGGCGCTTCCGTTCGGGAGCGGCGGCCCCCCTGGCGGTGACCCCCCCTTGGCATTGCCTCGGTCCACTCTGTTCCCCCGGTTCATCTCCTCGCCCGCCCCCCCCCCGCAGGAGCAGGGGCAAGGCTACTCGGAGGACGACCGGGCTTGGGCCTCCTCACAAGTGCCAGCACCACCTCTGGTGCCCCAGAGGCCCGCGCGGCCGCCGCGCTTGCGAGGAGGAAGACGAGGAGGAGGAGGAGGAGGAGGAGGAGGAGGAGGAGGAGGAGGGGAGGAGGAGGAGGAGGGAGGAGGAGGAGGAGGAGGACGAGGAGGAGGGAGGAGGAGGAGGAGGAGGAGGAGGTGCACGCAGATCTGTGACGTCACGGATGCGTCCAGGCGGCAAGCTTTTTCTGAGCGTCGGGCCTCGGGAGGCCCGCTGCGGGACAGGCCATGAGAACCCAGTGGGGCCCGCGCAGCCGCGAGGAGGAGTAGGAGGAGAGGAGGAGGAGGAGAGGAGGAGGAGGAGAGGAGGAGGAGGAGGAGGAGGACAGAGCTCTCGAGCTCTGTGCACCTCCCCCTCCTCCTCCTTTTCGTCCTCCTCCTCCTCCTCGTCCTCGGCCTCGTCTTCCTCCCTCCTCCTCCTCCTCCTCTCTCCTCCTCCTCCTCCTCCCCCCTCCTCCTCCACCTCCTCCTCCTCCTCCGCCTCTCATACCCCTCCTCCTCCTACTCCTCTTCCTCCGCCTCCTGCTCGTCCTCCTCCTCCTGCTTCTCCTTGTCCTCCCCACTCCTCCTCCCCCTCCTCCTTCTCCCCCTCTTCCTCCTCCTCGTCCTCCTCCTCCTTTCCTTTCCTTTCCTTTCCTTTCCTTTCCTTTCCTTTCCTTTCCTTTCCTTTCCTTTCCTTTCCTTTCCTTTCCTTTCCTTTCCTTTCCTCCTCGTCCTCCTCAGACCCCCCTCGTCGTCCTCTCATCCTCCGCCTCCTCCTCTTCCTCCTCTTCCTCCATCCTGGTTCTCTTCCTCCTCCTTTTCGTCCTCTTCCTCCTCCTCCTAGCAGTTTTGGCTCAAGGCCACGATGGTGTCCATTTCATTGCCTCCGCGGGCAGGCTCCCACAAGTGTGCGCAGACTCGCCGCTACAACTAGGGGCTTGCGGCCGCCCATTCCAGATGTTCCTCGCACTGGCCTTGCATGCGACCCTCCATATCCGCCCGTTAAGCCCCGGTCCGAGCCCCCCATATCCGCTGGGTGAGCTCCGCTCCGAGCCTTCCATCTATATATGTATGTATATGTATATGCATTGCCCGCCGAGCCCTGCTCCGAGCCCTTCATATCGCCCGTGGCGCCGCTGGCCCCATCATCGCCCTTTCCGTCGGCACGCTCAGGCTGCGCATCGCCCCTGGCCGCTGGCAGTCAGCTGCTCAACGTGGACTTCAACAACAGCTCGCCCGTTGTGGCCAGCGAGCAACCATGGCCAGCTGCAACAGCTCCAGCGACAACGAGCGCTCCGCATCTCCCAACCTCCCCTCATCCCAAGCCTCCCGCAGCCGTCGACAGAAAACTTGACATCGAGACCACGCTGGGGATCGTGATCGTGAACATCGACACGAAGACAGCCCCCGCTCCGATGACGTCCGTGGCCCCCTCGCCGCTCAACGTCGTGGCGACGTCCGTCGCCCTAGCTGGGCGCTCTTTGGGTCGCGCTACACCGCGATCCTCCCGCGCGGCACGCTCCGCTGCTCGCCCCGCGTCCGCTGGCCTGTCTGGCGACGGTGCCCGCCGCGACGCTTTCCAAGGGCAAGATTCATGGAAGCAAGCGGCTGACTTGGACCAGTTCTCCACTTGCCCATCGCAAGAACATCCACAAGGAACCACTCGCCCCGCCGCACATGCTTTCCCCGAAGAATCACATCCTACGCCAGGCTCCGTTCCAGCTGTGCGCTCCTCCGGCCTTCCTGCAGAACTCGACTCCGGCCTGCAGAGCCTCCTGTCGGAGCAGATCACCATCGCAGCCGACGCTTTCCGCGTCCAGGACGACCGCCCCTTGGAGCAGTCTCGTGAGAGTTTCCGTTCCCTTCTCCAGCAGCAAGTCCTCCAGACCGAGCACCGCGTCAACAACCTTCGCGACGCCGTCGCCCACGCCCGTCGCGGGCAGGACTGACAAGCCGCCGAGCCGAAGCGCATGTGGCACCATATCGGCCAGATGCGCGACGCCCTCGCCGTTGCCGCGGCACAGATCCCGATCGTGGACCTCGCGCGCCTCGCCGAATGGGTCGCGTTCCTGACTCCACGATCTTCTCCGTTGGCTGCCAGCGCCTCGTCTCGCCCTCCCCCCCCTTGAATGGCCTGCAGGAGTGGGTCGGAGGCGCGGGCCTCCAGTCTGACCATATTGAATTTCGCGGCCGCGAGCCTGCCCGTTGCTTCAGTAGTCAACTTCCTTGTGCCCTTGCTTTGCATCGTGCCCTACGCGATCCTGCAGGGAAGTGGGTGCGCTTCTCCACCGGCGACGCAGCTAGGCAGCGCGGCGGCATCTGCTTCAAAGGCGACAAGTCTCCGAAGCAAATCCGCACTGAGATCCAACGCAAGAAGCTCCAGTCGCTGCTCCAGCACCAGCACCCCGACCTGCAACGGCGGGCCATCCGCAGCAAGGGGCGCGACCCACAGCGACGCCGTGCCCGCCATCCGCCTCGGCATCCGCGGCCAGGCGGACCCCGCCGCCCTCGAGTGGCACGAGGAGGCCCCCGGGCCCCAGCAGTTCCACGGCGTCGCCCGCGCGGCCGCCCCCCCACTTCCGGGCCCTCCTCTCGGACGCCGAATCCGCGGCGGAGCGTTCCCGGCCATCCGCGGGCGCCACGGCTGGCGCCCGCGGGCTCGTCGCCTGCCACCTCTGTCAGCCGGGGCGCCCGAGCGCCGATGTGCCGCAAGCGCCCCCGCCGCCCAGGCATCTCTCGCCACGTTTCCTGGGCGACGGTGCGTCGTCCTCCCGCGGGGGGCTCGCGGTGCCAAAGCGTTGTCCCGCGCGTGGGTGGGCGCGCAGCCGTGCCCGTGCAAGCGCTTCTTCTCCGAGTTTGCATCCGACGAAGGCGCCTCGTCCGCGGCCGTCGGCGGCGTCGCCGCCCTGGCCCCCTTGTTCGCGCCGATGCAGCCCGAACATCTCCAGCGGGGCCAGACCCCGATCATCTCGCGCAGCGTTCTCGTCCCTGGGCGCATCCACCTGCTCGCCATCAGCAGCGCCGCCCCCCGCGACGCTCTGGGCCTGCCGACTGTCCGCAACCATGAAGTCTGCGCGAGATCGCGACGGGGCTGCGCGCTGCGCATTGGCGGAGCAGGACTACCCGCGCCGCGCGCTTCTGGCCATGGGCGATTTCAGCGCGGTCAGTGGCCGTCCCAGCAGCTTCTTCAGGCCTCGGGCCCAGCATGCCCGCCTCTCGCTCGAGAGCAACAACCGCCAGCGGCAGCCCTTCTGGAGGGCGCACTTCGGCTCCATGCTCGCGATCGAGTCAGACGCCCCGACCTCGTTCGGCAAGTCCACGCGGCCCCCGCGATCGACCGCCCCCTCATCAGCCCCCCGTCTCACGCCGCGCAGGAGCTCACTCTGCGGGTCGACATCGCCCATGGCGCCGCCGCCGCATCGGACGTGCGCAACAGCGACCACGCCGGCGCCACCTTCACCATTGGCATCAAGCCGCGCCCGCCGCCCGCTGAGCAGGCTATTCCGCCCGCGATATTCCGCGACCCGCGCTGCGTCGGACACGCGCAGCAGCTCGTTGACGCCTCAAACACCGCCCGCGCCCCCATCGAGAACCGCTGGCGGTCGCGCGATCGCCTCATGGCTGAAGCTGCCCGCGTGGTTCACGATGACTGGGCGCGCCTGTCCTCTGGCGACGCACACCGCCTTGGCTTCCTCGACGGCCGCGCCCTCGCCGCGCGCTCAATCTCCGGGGCCGTCTGGCGCCGGGACATCACCCTGGCCAGGCGCTTCGAGTCCACCTCGGCGAGCAGTTCGTGTCTATCGTTGGCGGTGTCATCGCCATCGCCAGCCCTAGCCTGTTTGCCAGCCCCTCGCCCCCCTCGCCCCCCCCTGCCCCTCGGCCTTTCTCGGCCCCCCTGTTCCGCGGCTCTAGGCGCCGCCCGCAGCTGCTGCCGCGGCTCCCAGGGGCCGGGCGACGCCATTGCCGTCGGGCGCCTCCGCAGGCCCATTCGGGCCCCCCAGAAAAGGGCGCCCCCTTGGGCCCCATGGAAGCGCCGTCTTGACCCCCGGGGGATCGCGGCCCAGGGCCCCCACGACCGCCCCGCAGAGATAGCCGGAGAGAGCTGCGCCGCGGCCAAAGCCCTGCGCGCGCGCGGGGAACCCATCTTCCCCGCGAAGGTGGTCAACATTTCCGAGGTGCAGCAGTTCATCGAGCAGCGCGTGCTTCGCGGCGACCTCTTTGGCGTCGGCGCCCCGTGCAAGCGCCAGATCAAAGCGCACCTCCTCCGCGCCTCTCCGTCGGCGCCTGGCCTCAGCGGCCTGCCGTGCAACGCGCGGCTCGCCCTCGACCGCTCCCTCGACGTCTTGGAGTACCTCCCCTTCTTCCTGTGCGTTGGCCAGTCGATCCCGCGGGGCCTCAGCGAGTCCGATCTCGCCTTCCCCCTGGAGGGCGCCGACCTCGCCGGGGAGCTCGCCGCGGACAGTGCCCCCGTGGACACGCGCCGTCTTTCCCTGAAGAACGCCGACATCAACGCCATCGCCGGCGCCGCCAACCACCCCATGCAAACATTCGCCGCGCCGCGGACTCACGAAGCGCGGCAGGGCTTCGTCGTGGGCCGCAACTTCGCCGAACGTATCGTCCGCCTCGACGCTGAGATGCGCCGCGCTGGCTTCCTGGTCGACAGCGCCAACCACCTCTCGATCTTCATCAGCTTCGACTTCGCCGCCGCGATCCCGTCGCGGGGCAGGGCCTGGCTGTTCGCGTCGCTCAAGTATTTTGCCATACCTGATGGCCTGCTCAACCCCCTTTCGCGCCATGCACTTCGCTCCGTCCTCTTTCGTCAACGTCGACGGCGTCCGCCACATCGGGTTCGCCATCGAGTCGGGCGTTGCCCGGGGGCCAGCGCGGGCGATTGCCATGGGCCCTCTGGCGCGCCGCATCGCCTCCTTCGTACAGAACGCCGACGGCGCGCCCGACTTGTCCCTGGGCCACGCGGGCGCCAGCGCCGACGACTTGGGGCTCTCGCGCAGCAAGTTCGGGCTGGTGAGACGCGTCGCCGAGCACTTCGCTGCCGCCGAGGAACTCGTGGCGACCTCTCTCAAACCCCGCGCGCGCGTGGTCGCCCTGCTCTGGGATGCCACCAACCATGCCACCATTCCCCGGTCCCGCTCCCTGCTTTCCGAGTTGGCACCTCCCTCGTCCGAGTTTTCGATCGCGGGGCGCGCCGAGCGCACGGGGGCCGCCCCGGGCGCCCCGGCGTCTCTTTCGGACGAATGGCTCGCCCCAGGGCAAACATGGTGACAGCGGGGGGATCTTCTGCAGCACGCCCAGTCTGGCAGCATGCCGGTTTCGTTGACATAACACTTCTGTCCTCTCCACCCTGACCTACGTTACGCGGTTCTTGCTTATCGAGCAGTCTATCGTTTGCCGAGAGCGTCACATGTTCCACAAAATGCTGTCCATGCCTCCCAACTCTTTTCGCAAAGTTGACGTCGTTGCGATGGCCGTCTGGGCTCCAGCCCCTGTCCCAGCTTCGATGCAGGTTGTCATTGTTGCTGCTGGTATGTGCTCCGCTCCGCCTCTGCCGCACTACGCTGCGACCTGGAGGATTAGCTTGCCCGCATACGTGACACTGCTTACGATGACACCACTGCCCACAACTTCCATCGCTGGAACAATGGACGCTGGTCGCCGCGGTTTTGGGCTCAACCCCGCTGTTGATCTGGCCAGCGTTGCAGCATCTTTCCGGCCCATGTGATCTGTGACAGGACGCGGGCCGCGCCGAGTTTGCGGCAGCATCTATCGCAGACCCGCAGCGCCGTGCCCGCGTCCAAAGCGCTATCGCCACCTCGTTGCGTAAGGCATGCTCATCCTCGGCATTCACCGTGACGCTCGCCAAGCGATTGACTACCGCAAGAACGCACGTGCTGACGCCGAAGACGTGCGTCTTCGGCTGCCCACACGACGCAGACGCGTTTCTCCACTACCTCTCCTGTCCTCGCCTCTTGAGCCTAAGCCTATTCTGGCCCCCCGACCCGCGTCCCCTCAGCACGACAATCACAGCCTGGGGCTTGGGCACCGAGGCAGCCTACGCCGCTGACCGCGACAGCGCGATGTTGCTGCATCGCATGTGCCAGGGCTGAGTGCTGGTTTATCGCACGTTTTGCACAATGAAGCTACATATGGCACCGGCACCCGAGAGTATCGCCTCGTCGAGTGCAGCCGCCCGCGCCCTTTCTAGCGCTAGTGAGGACTCGCGCTCCCCAGGGTACCCGAACTCGCCCTCCTCGTCCTCCTCCTCCTCTTCTCTGACGTCACAACTGTGATTTCGCGGACGCGTCCACACGGCAAGTTTTTCCGACCGTTGGGCCTCTGGGGGCCCGCAGCGGGCCCAGCGGGGTTCAAGTTGTGAATCGGCCGAGGGATCGTTCCGAAAGCCGTGCGGGAACTCCCGAGGTCCACACCAGCATGTGCGTAGACCACCGAGCCGTGAAGTTCGCGTGCGGAGCACTGCCAGAGACCAACACAAAACGACGACGCCGCCGACAACGACGACGCTAAGGATGACGACGACGACGCCGAAGACGACGACGACGACGACGACGACGACGACAACGACGACGACGACGACGACGACGACGACGACGACGACGACGACGACGACGACGACGACGACGGAGGCGGCGGCGTCGGCGGCGGGCGACGCGGCGGCGGCGGACGGCGGCGGCGGCGGACAGCGGCGGCGGCGGTGGCGACGGCGGTGGCGGCGGCGGGCGACGGCGGTGGCGACGGCGACCGACGACGGCGGCGGCGACGGTGCTCCTCTCGGCCAGCGCCGGCGCGGCAGACCCCTGGCGGCGCAGTGGCGCTTCTACTGCCGGGCGCTGCGGCAGCGAGCGCCCGAGGAGGAGAGGCTCGGAAAAATGGGGCGGCGGCGACGAAGACGGCGACGTCGACGTCGACGGTGACGACGGCGACGACGGCGACGACGGCGGCGACGGCCGCGGTGGCGGCGACGTCGACGGCGCAGGCGGGGCGGCAGCGATGTCGTCGACGGCCGTGGCGGAGACGTCTGCGGCGAAGGCGGCGGCAGGGCGGCCGCCCGCCGGTCGGAGGAGAAGCTCGGGCCGGTCGGACTCGGCATTGCAACAGACTGCGCGCCGTCTTGCTGAAGGCTCCCACCCCGAGAACTCTGGAGGTCGGAAAAGCGTGGAGCGTAAAGGGGTGTGGTGCCAGTCGTGGAAATCGAGATGCTATCTACCACAGATGGCATCGCCAGATCCAACATTGGCCTACACTCCTTTATGCCACACCCCTTTCCTACCTCCCAGCGATGGGAGGCCCAGCTCTGAGCCCCAGGCGGGAGAGAAGAGGGAGGAGATGCGGCTCAAGCTTTCAGGCCCCAGGAGGTTCAGAGGAACAAGCTTTAACCGACGTCTTCCGCACGCAACGGCGGACCACTTCTGAGAGCGTTTGCAAAACCCTTTTTGCTTTGACCCCCCTCGCACACCTGTTGCAGGGGGAGGGAGGACCCCCTCCTTTCCACTCTTCGCCGCGCCGCGAACTGCCGCCGCAGAGGAGATCCGCGACGTCAAAGAGCAGGTTGGCCTAGGCTCGGGGGCGCCAATGTCTGGCCTGAATCGGTGTGAGTGCGTGCCGATTGACAGATCTCTGTCTCTCTGTCTCTCTGTCTGTGCGTGTATGTGTGTGTGTGTGCCTAGCTCTTAACCGGAAGAGGCCCGCTCTCGACCCGCCGACCAATATATATATATATATATATATATATATATATATATATATAAAAAAATGTATGTATGTATGTATGTATGTATGTATGTATGTATGTATGTATGTATGTATGTATGCATGTATGTATGTATGTATGTATGTATGAGTGTATGAATGTATGAATGTATGAATGCATGAATGTATGAATGTATGAATGTATGTATGTATGTATGTATGTATGTATGTATGTATGTATGTATGTATGTATGTGTGTTTGTGTGTGTGTGTGTTAGTCAGCGTGGGTCTCAAACAATGCGTTTGTAGCCATATTCCATATTTCACATGCTTGAAATCTGGGGTGGGTGGGGAAATCTGCCCCACTCCAAACGGGGACCCCCTGGATCCGTGGCCCGTGGGGCCCCCTGGGCGCCCCTTCCAAAGATCCCCTAGACCACATCCCACCCACCCGCCCGCAGCTTGGTTTGCGAAGCCCATGCGGCGGCGATTGAGGTGAGTGTCTGGCGTTGGCTGGTGCATCTCTGCGGCCGCGCTAGCCCGCGCATGCTCGCGCGCACAGCGGCCACTTAGCTTGGCGCCACTGACGCGGCCGCGGTGGCGCTGACCGTTGCGCACATCCCAGCGGGCACTTCAGTGCGAATCGGTGACCTTGGGTGGGCGCGGTATCATGGCGACGCCGACAAGTGTAGACACGATTCTGAAAGTAGTGATGATGGTGACGAAGGTGGCGATGAAGACGGCAAGGCCGAAGACGGCGCCGATGTTGATCACGCCCGCCGATAACAATGACGATGTCCTCGTGTCGGCGATGAAGGTTTTTGGAAGAGCTCGACATGCGCGCGCGGCAGGCGTGCGCGAGTGGCCCGAGTGGTATTATTTGACACGGGTAGTGCCCTCCCCCCCCAGCGTGCGCGCAAGGGCGTTCGAATGAGTTCGATATGCGGCGCGAGAGGCTCGTTTGGCAGAATTCGATACAAACGCTTGAGAAGCCCTGGCTTTATTGAGCATCCGCAGAAGCGCGAAAGCAGTTTTTTGTTTTGAAAACTCATGGTGTGAAACCGCAGGTTGTTGTTGTTATTATTATTATGATTACTATCATCATTATCATTGTTAGTATTGTATTTATTATTAAGACTTTTATTGTTAGCGTTAGTATTATCATTAGCATCATCACTATTAGTATTATCGCTATTCTTATTATTATTATTAGTATTATTATTTAGCACCTTCATTATTATTTATGCTATATAATGTATTCGGGCACTCGATGTTGAATCCTTACGACACCGAAGGTTCCAAGGATTTCGGCATGCGCGCGCGCGCACTTCGTCAGTTTTTTCCGTTTGCCAAGGATGGATTCTTGCGACAGCATGCGCGCAAGGTTTTCGAACGATGTCGACGCGCGCGAGAGAGGCCAATTTGGACGCAGTTTAAGAACATGTTGAACAACCGATGGTTTTTGGAGAATTCGCAAGCGCGCGATCGCATTCTGTTTACCCCTCTGGAGAATGCTTACGCCCAGGGTTTTCCTTTAGTTATATAGCCCCCAGGGCCCGACATGAGGGATGCCTGCGGAAGATAACTAACGTGTTTGAAGAGGACCAGCAGAGTTGAATTTGAGGATGCCTCTAGCGAAACGTTTTTTTTATAGTATCAAAAAAATCTGATCGAGAAAGCACAAGCGAGCGAAGCGCTCGGTTTGCACAATTTGGTGAGGATGTCTCGAGCGCAGCGCTTGTTTTGTGCAATAGATCGTTCCTCTCTTGGGGGTCAGAATTCAGAAGATGTCTCAGGTGAAATGCTTGTTTTCACGCGCCCACGTGTCGAGGATATCTCGAGCGTGACGCTTGGTTTCGCGTTTCCAAGTTGCCCAGGCAGACGTCTAGCATCAGGATTTGTGAGGGATATCTCGAGCGAGACGCTGGTTTTCACGCGTCCAGGTCACCCAGGCAGATGTCTAGCGAGGATGTGTTGCGGATGTCTCGAGAGAGCGTTGAGGATGCGTTGAGGGAAGTGCTTGCTGTTACGTGTCCAGGTCGCCCAGGCGGATCTCTAACATGAGGATGTGGGCAGGATGTCTCGAGATAGACGCTTGTTTTCACGTGCCCAGGTCGCCCAGGCGGATGTCTAGCATGAAGATGTGTTGAGGATGCGTTCAGCGAAACACTCGGTTTCACGTGTCCAGGTCGCCCAGGCGGATGTCTAAGATGAGGATGTGTTGAGGTTGTTTCGAGAGAGGCGCTTGGTTTCACGTGCCCAGGTCGCCCAGGCGGATGCCTAACATGGGGTTGTGTTGAGGATGTCTCGACAGATACGCTTGTTTTCACGTGTCCAGGTCGCCCAGGCGGATGTCTAGCACGAGGATGCGTTAAGGATGCGTTGAGGGAAGCGCTTGCTGTTACGTGTCCAGGTCGCCCAGGCGGATCTCTAACATGACGATGTGGGCAGGATGTCTCGAGAGAGACGCCTGTTTCCACGTGCCCAGGTCGCCCAGGCGGATGTCTAGCATGAAGATGTGTTGAGGATGCGTTCAGCGAAGCACTCGGTTTCACGTGTCCAGGTCGCCCAGGCGGATGTCTGAGATGAGGATTTGTCGAGGATGTTTTGAGAGAGACGCTTGGTTTCACGTGTCCAGGTCGCCCAGGCGGATGTCTAGCACAAGGATGCGTTGAGGATGCGTTGAGGGAAGCACTTGCTGTTACGTGTCCAGGTCGCCCAGGCGTGAGGATGTGGGCAGGATGTCTCGAGATAGACGCTTGTCTTCACGTGCCCAGGTCGCCCAGGCGGATGTCTAGCATGAAGATGTGTTGATGATGCGTTCAGCGAACCACTCGGTTTCACGTGTCCAGGTCGCCCAGGCGGATGTCTAAGATGAGGATGTGGTGAGGTTGTTTCGAGAGAGACGCTTGGTTTCACGTGTCCAGGTCGCCCAGGCGGATATCCAGAGAGGATCTGTTGAGAAGGGCTCGAGCGAAACGCTCATTTTTACGTGTCCAGGTCGCCCAGGCGGATGTCTAATGTGCAGATGTGTTGAGGATGTCTCGAGCGAGACGCTTGCATTCATTTGTGCAGGTCGCCCAGGCGGATATTCAGCATGATCATGTGTTGAGCGAAGAGTTTGTTTTCACGTGTCCAGGTCGCCCAGGCGGATGTCTAGTATGAAGATGCGTTGAGGATGCGTTGAGCGAAACGCTTGGTTTCACGTGTCCTGATCGCCCAGGCGGATATCTAACATGGGGTTGTGTTGAGGATGTCTCGAGAGAGACGCTTGTGTTCACGTGTCCAGGTCGCCCAGGCGGATGTCTAGCACGAGGATGCGTTGAGGATGCGTTGAGGGAAGCGCTTGCTGTTACGTGTCCAGGTCGCCCAGGCGGATCTCTAACATGAGGATGTGGGCAGGATGTCTCGAGTGAACTGCTAGGTTTTCACGTATCCAGGTCGCTCAGGCAGATGCCTAGCATGAGGAGGTGTTGAGAGCTTCTCGAGGGATGCCCTTGGTTTCACGTGTCCATATCGCCCAGTCGGCTGTCTAACATGAGGATATGTTGAGTATGTCTTGAGCGAAACGCTCGTCGCAGACGAGCGCGTCGCAATCCAGCCCCGTCCGTCCGTGGGGCGTCCCCTGGCGCCCTGGCGCGCCCCCTGGTGCGTCCCTTGCGACGTTCTGGCGTGACTTGCCCTGGCACGTCCCCTAGAACGCCACTCGGCGTGGCACGTTCCCTGGCTCGTCCTCTGTCGCGTTGCTCGTCCCCTGGCGTTTTCCCTGCCCGTTCCGTGGCGGGCCCCTTGCAACGTCCCGTGGCTTGACGTCCTCTGGCCACCCCGTGGCACGCGCTTTGGCACGTCCCGTGGCAGGTCCCTGACACGTCCAGGGCACGTCCCCTGATGCGTCCCTTGACACGTCCCCTGGCGCACCCCCTATTGCGCCCTTGGCACATCCTGTGGCGCGTCCGTGAGCCTGTGCCCCGTGTAGTGTCGTTCCTTGTCGGAGCTGAGTCGGTTTGTGAGGTCGAGTTGATTGAACGTCCTCCATGTGTCCTCTTCAACTAGCTCTGGGGCGGCTATTATGTGCTCAGGCAGCTCGAGCTTAAGACCCAGATCAGTTCGGCCAGGACTCGAATGCTAAGGAGGACTCGATTCACAACGCTATAGAGCACAATCGCGGCATGGCACATCGCAGTTCAGCACGGCACAGCACAGCACAGCTCTTGGTACGGTACATCAAGATCGACACACTCAGCATTGCAATTGGCCGTCGCCCAATCAGGTGTTTTGCAAACGTTGTCATGCTCTATATGTAAGTGTATATGTAGATGTATGTATGTGTGAATATATATATATATATATATGTATCAATTTCCGGGTTCGTGGGTCGACCATGTCTCAGAATTCATGTTGCAACACCATGTGTTCCACTTTAAGATCTTTACGAAGTTCCAGCTTTTTGAACGATCTTCGCATGCGCGCGCGACGACTCGCGCGAGTGCACCTCGTCCTGGTGTCTGCAAGGGCTTCTAGTAAACGAGTGTTTTTTGGTAAACGAGTGCGTGCGCACAGTAGTATTTGGCCAGGATGATGGGCGGGGGGAAACCGGCCGAGCTGGCATGGTATGGGTTCATGTTCGAATGAGCGCAGGGACTGCGTCACAGGTAAACTGGACTTTTGTTTCAACAAGCGCGAAGGAGCCCTGTGGCAGAGGGGAGGGGAGGGGAGGGGGGGGAGGAGGCGGGTGAAGCAGGCAGCCCCAGCCCTGGGCTGCACGGCATACGCCTAGTCCGGCGGCCCGGCCGCGCCTCCAGCCGCCTGCGCAGCGCCGCGCGCCAACCCGCCTCGCTGCCCCCCGCCCGCATTGCGGGCACCAGAAGG